CAACTCCCCAAATGGCAGAGGCACTCTCTCTGCAAGCAGCCAGCCCCACCTGCATTGCACTCTTTCTTGGAAAACTATCGGAGTCCACGGGCCCTGGATGGGAGATGAACTGGCCTTGGTGTGCTCTGAGATTTTTCCTGAGCAGCTCCAGGCTCAGCACTGACACCAAACCAGAATCTTCATTAACCTGGTGAACACAACTCTTCCCACTCTAGTGACTCTCTGAGACCCTGCCTCACCCAACTTGAATACTACATGAGACTTTATCAGTGGCTGAACTTTAAGGGAGCTGGCAGATGGCAGCAGCCCTCGGGGTGTCCTGGCTCTTTGCGGAGCTACACCAGGCCCAGTCCTGGTGGCAGCCATCCTCGATTCACAGCGTGGCCTCTCCCATGTGCCTCGAGTTGGGCACAGGCAGCAAAAAAATGTGGATCACTTTGTAGCTCCAGCCAGGTAGTCCCCAGCTGGTCACAGGCAGTGGGTGACCTAGGCGTGCACCAGAGCCCCTCCCAAGAGGTCCCAGAACCAACATACCTGGAGGTTGGCTTTAGGCCACAGCAGAGCACTGCCCTATTAGCCCCAAAAGCAGCATACACAAAGGGAGGTCTCAACAGGCACCAGAGTCCACTGGGGTGAACCCCACTCACTGGGATAAGTTCCACCACACAGCAGCCCATAAGCTGTGGACATGGCCAAACCCCACAGCCAATCAGCCTGAGGGTCAACCACACCCATTAACATGCCAACAGCAATCAAGCCTCAACCATAACAGGAGGGCACCCACAACCCACACAAGGGACACTCCTGGAGCACCCAGCACAGGTGACCAGGGAGACTGTGCCAGGGCCCCACAGGGCACCTACTACATAAGGCTACCCGGCCAAGACTGAGAGACATAGCAGATCTACCTCATACATAGAAACAAATAAAGGGGCAGCCAAAATGAGAAAACAAAGAAATACGTCCTAAATAAAAGAACAGAGAGAATTCCAGAAAAAGAACTAAACGAAATGGAGGCAAGCAATCTACCAGAGACAGAGTTCAAAACAATGGTTGTAAGAATGTTCAAGGAACTCAGTGAGAACTTCAACAAAGAGACAGCAAGCCTAAAAAAAGAACATAGAAACCATAAAAAAGAATCAGTCAGAAGTGACAAATAAGATAAGTGAAACGAAAAGTGCATTAGAAGGAATCACCGGCAGACTAGATGAAGCAGAGGATCGAATTAGCGATTTGGAAGATGAGGTAGCAGAAAACACCCAATTGGAACAGCAAAAAGAAAAAAAGAATTCACCCCAAAAAAACAGAGGATAGTTTAAAAGACCTCTGGGACAACATCAAGCATAACAACATTTGCATCATAGGGGCACCAGAAGAAAAAGAGAAAAAGCAAGGGATTGAGAACGTATTTGAAGAAATAATGACTGAAAACTTTCCTAACCTGGTGAAAGAAATAGACATACAAGTCCAGGAAGTGCAGAGTTCCAAACAAGATGAACCCAAACAGGCCCACACCAAGACACATTCTAGTTAAAATGGCAAAGGTTAAAGACAAAGAGAGAATCCTAAAAGCAGTAACAGAAAGGCAACTAATAACTTATAAGGGAGCTCCCATAAGATTATCAACTGACTTCTCAACAGAAATTTTGCAAGCCAGAAGGGATTGGAAGGAAATACCCAGCAAGGCTACCATTTAAAATCAAAGGACAGATAAAGAGCTTCCCAGACAAGAAAAAGCTAAAGAAGTTCATCACCACCAGACAGTATTACAAGGAATGTTAAAGGGAATTCTTTAAGACAGAAAAAAAAAGATCAAATTTATGAATAATAAAATGGCAATAGCTACATATCTATCAATAATTATGTTCAATGTAAATGGATTAAATGATCCACTCAAAAGACATAGGAGGGCTGAATGGATAAGAAAACAAAACCCTTAAAAATGCTGTCTACAAAAGAATCACTTCAGATTGAAAGACACACACACATGGACGGAAAGCAAAGAGATGGAAAAAGATATTTCATGAAAATGGCAATGAAAAAAAAAAAAGATTGGGGTAGCCATACCAGACAAAATAGACTTTATTTTTTATTTTGATTTAGCTGAGCCATCCTGCCACCTTTTGGCAGCTCATTGGCAGCTCAGCTTGGGCTGGGCATCAAACCACTGTTGCTCAGAGCTCACACTCTTGAGTGAGCTCTTAACCAACTGAGCCACTTGTCCAGCCCCTACAAAATAGATTTTAAAACAAAGGCTATAACAAAAGACAAAGAAGGACCCAGTAATTCTACTTCTGGATATTTATCTGAAAAAACCCAAACACTACTTCAAGGGGACATGTGCATCCACATGATCATTGCAGCATTGTTTAAAATGACCAAGATGTGGAGGCAGCCTGGGTGTCTGTCGATGAAAGAATGGATAAAGAGGAGGTGGTACATATACACCATAGAAAATTGCTTGGCCATGGAAGGGAATGGGTTCTTGCCATCTGTGGCAGTATGGATGGACCTAGAGGGTATTATGCTGAGTGGAGTATGTCAGACAGAGAAAGACAGATGCAGTGTGATTTCGCTTATATGTAGAATCTAAAGAACAAAATAAACAAATGAACAAATCAGAAATAAACTCATAGATACAGAGAACATTTTGATGGTTGCCAGATAGGAGGGGGTTTAGGAGTGTGGGTCAAAAAAGAGGAAGGGATTAAGAAGTTCAAATTGGTTGTTACAAAGTAGGGTATAGTATAAGGAATATAGTCAATAATATTGTGATAACTATGTATGGTGTCAGATAGGTACTAGATTTGTTGGGGTGATAAATGGGGTGATAGATAGATGGGGGGACAGGGTGAAAAAGGTGAAGGGATTAAGAAGTATAAATTGGTAGTTACAAAATAGTCTTGGGAATGTAAAATACAGCATAGGGAATGTAGTTAACAATGTGGCAATAGCTATGTATAGTGCCAGGTGGGTACTAGACTAGTCAGGGGGATCACTTCTTAAATTATATAAATGTCTAACCACTATGCTGTACCCCTGAAATTAATAAAAAATAATATTGAATGTCAACTATAATTGAAAAATTAAAAGGGGAAGGTGAAGGGCAATACGTGGTCCAAATTTCCAGGCATAAAACAAATAAGCCATGGGGATGTAATATACAGCCTGGGGAATATAGTCAATAATATTGTGATAGCATGGTACAGTGTCAGATGGTTGCTGGACTTATCGTGGTGATCACTTCTTTAGGTCTATAAATGAACAACTGTGGTGTATGCCTGAAACTCATATAATATTGTATGTTAGCTATATTTTTAATAAAAATCTTAAAAATAATAAAATAGCCCCCTCTTGCTATTCACACCCTGTGTAATCCGTCCTGAATGTGGGTTGGACCTAGTGACTTGCTTCCAACCAGTAGAATGGGAGTAATGGGATGGTACTTCTAAGATTAGGTTACAAATCTTAACCTAATCTTCTTCCATCTTCCTCACCTAATCTGGCTTCCATCTTCCTCACCCTCCACTGTTGTCTTCCTTGCCTGCTCTGATGGAAGCCAGCTGCCAGGTTGGGAGCTGTGCTATGGGGAGGTCCACACAGCAAGAACTGAGTGGGGAACTGAATCCTACCAACAATGTCGTGAAAGCTCTTGGAAGTGGATCTCACCGCACCCCGTCACACACACATACCATCAATTGTTTGGATGGCCAACCTGGGCAAACACCTTGAGAGCAGCCTGTGAAAGACCCTGAACCAGAGGACCCAGCTAAGTCATGTGTTTGCTTCCGGATCCACAGAAACTCTGAGATGATGTGTTCGTTGTTTCAAGCTGCTAAGTTTCAGGGTAATTTGCTATGCAGAAGTAGCTAACTAATACAATCAGGGTGATACTGAGGTTATTCAGCTACCAGCTCAGCACAGGCATTAACCAACCAGTTAGAGCCGATGCTGACAGCAGCAATGGAACAGGGTCTTGGAGGTCCTTGCTGAGCCACTTGCTAGAGCACTGAGAGTTCAGGAAAGGGGGTCCAGGTGGGGAGCAGGTGAAGTAGAGGGAATTTATCTTATGGGAATACTCACACCGGGGCATAAAAGCACCTGCTTGCAAGAATAGTTACTGCAGCATTATTCGTGTGGTTTTGTGGGGGGGTTTTTTGTTTTTTGTTTTTTTTTAGCTGAGCTATCCTGCCACCTGTTGGCAGCTCAGCGGCAGCTCAGCTCGGGCTGGGAATTGAACCGGCGACCCTGTTGCTCAAAGCTCTCTCTTAACCAACTGAGCTACTCGGCCAGCCCAACAGCATTATTTGTTGTAGCAAAAGATTGGAAACAACTGAGAAGTCTATGCGCAGGGGACTGGTTAAACTAAGGACATCCATACAATGGGCTATCATGCGCTGAGACAGAATGAGGTATGTGCTATCATGGAATGATGGGCAGGGTATATTTGTTCAGGAGCAGAACAGTGGCATCATATGCCATCCTTTGTGTTCAAGATACTACATATACTTACCTGAAATCTTGTAACTCTAGAAATAGTCTGGTATCCCTGGTTCCCTCAGAAAGGGGAACTGGGAGTGTGGGGGTCAGGAATGGGAGAGACATCTAATTTTTCTGTCTCCTGGAGCCCCCGTGACGCTCCTTCTATTACCTGAGGTAGGGAGGTAATTATGGCTGTGTCTGGGAGGACTCCTGAACCCTAATTTAGTGTCTAGAGATTTTCTAAATGGAGGGGAGGCTGAGTGGAAGGGTCCCTAGCTCCCTTTTCCCTCAACAGCTGGTGCAGTGCCTCCCACTGGAGATTTAATTGGGAAAAAAAAAGGTTCCTCTGCTTTAAGGAAAAAAGGTAGGAACTCACTATGCCCCCTTTCTTCCCTCACTTCCCACTCAACTCTCCACCATCCATCCACTCCCCGCCACTGCCATCCCACCACCAGCCTGGGTCAGTCTGAGCTGAGTCCAACCTGATCCAGGTCTCTATTGGACCCCTGGGGACTCACCTGGTATGTCCGGGGATGGGTTGAGAATCATGAAGGCATCTGACAGGCCAGCTTTGACAGGATGCTGGGAAGAGCTGATTTCCAGGATGGACATAGGGATCTGCAGCAGGGGAGAAGCAGCTCCATCTACCCCCCCCCCAAACATTCTTGTACCAGCCTAGACTTCCCCTCTGAGCTCCAGACTCATCTGTGCTCAGAGTTGCCTCTTGGAGGAAGTGAAGACATCTCACACCCAAGGGCCCCAACCAAATTTCAAGTCTTCCCCACACCACCTCCAAGCACATTTCCTATTCTTTACTCCATCTTTGTGAATGGTCATGCAGGCCAGAGACTTAGGAGTCAACCCTGGCCCCTCCCTTTTCTTCATTTCTCCTCACTTCCATCTAATACATCTCTAAATCCTGTTAATTAGCTGGCTAACTGGCTCTCAAATATATCCAGTTCTCTCCATTACCCCCACCCCCACCCCCCACCCCCAGAATCCTAGCTGGTATCACTTCTCTCTTAAATCTTCTCCCAGCATTCCCTCTGAGCCTCCAACAATCTATTCTCTACTATGAAGCCAGAGTGACCTTTGTCAAAGGCAAATCTGGTGTTTCCCTGCCCTGTCTTGCCCCTTACTCTCTCCCCTCCAGCCATATTGTATTCTTTCAGCATTTTGCACCCGCCATGCTCTGACCTGTCACAGGACCTTTGCACATGCTTTTCTTTCTCCTGGAACATACTTAACTCTCCTCTTTGCTTCCTTAACTCCTATGCATCCTGAAGATTTCAACTCTTTTCCTTAGGGAAGCTTTCCCTGACCCTTGCTGGGGTAAAGAAACCCATGAAAGCCTCTCCTGGCACCTGACACCTCTACTTAGGAGCATTTGTCACAGTGGTAATTCTACATTTGTCCCTGCAATTATTGTCTATCTCCTCAACAAGCCTTAAGCTCTATAAGGGCAAAGCTCACAGCCATCTAATTAACTGCTGTATCCCTAGCACCACCAAGCCCTATGCCGGACACATTGCAGGTTCTCTACAAATATTTGCTGAATGAAAAAAAGGCTCCACAAGACCCAGACATCTCTGCAGCAGGGCTCACTCACCTCTTTGTAGCCGAATACAATGCGGCCGTCTCGGTGCAGAGCTGCCTGGAAGGTGAAGCTGCCCCTGTCTTCCCATCCTTGGAGGTAGACGTGGTCCCACTGAACAACAAAGACTGTCCCTGTGGAGAAGAGCAGAGACCTGGCTGGACTGGGAGGTAGTTCAGGGAACTGGGCATTGCAGAAATGGTGGCCAAAGAGGATTGGCCACAGGTCGGGGTCCCTCAGGGATGATGGAAGCAATTTGCAGATTTGATGGGAGGCAGGAGCTGGGCAACCCACAAACATCAGCTTGACTTCCAAGCTGGAGAGGAACCAGAAGATCCCACTTCAGCCCCTAGATACTGTGCCTGATCATCTGTTACTCCAAGCATGCCCCTTCCTTCTTGCTTAGCCTGAAACTTGAGATGAAAATGAAAAGGAGAAGAAATAGGAGAAATGCTTGTTCTCCTGGGGTAGGAGGGTAGGTGCTCAAGGGACAACCTGGTGAGAGTAAGAAACAATAAAGGTCTCTAGTATTTGCTTCACCTCTACTAAGAGCCAAGCACTTTCATTTCGTTATCCCTTCAGATCCGGCTAAGTAGCAGGCATCTTGTCGCCATCTCACAGATAAGGAAGCAACACGGAAAGGTAGGGTGGCTGCCTTGCTGTGTGTCTGTGGGCAAGTCCCTTACCCTCTCTGGGCCTTGGGCTCCTCTAAAGGGGCTGGGCCAGGGGTGCCCTGGTGCTGGGTGACAAACTCTGAGATCTGGTCTCACCATTATCAAAGTAAGCAACTGTGGAATTGTCGGAGTAGCCAGGGTTGAAGTTGGCCATCAGAGGGGCCACATACTGAGTAGCTGTGAGCATCCGATGGATCACGTCACCAGTGAAGATGAAGCCTGGGGTGGGGAGAAGGGCAGAAGAATCAGGGAAGTCCCAGAGGAGTTGCTTCCTTGGGTTTTTCCCCCAAGGACAGGAAGGAGAAGTGCAGACATAGCTAGAAGCAAGACTCAGATCTCTGCCTCCATCCCCAACCGGTGGGCTCAGGGTCAGGCGTACATGGAGCAAAAGCGTCCCAGACCAGAGAAGGCTCTCTCTGACACTCCAGGTGGGCATAAATTCCCACCTTCTCCTCCCCCTGGGAAAGTACACAGGAATCAAAGATGGGTTCCTAATATCAGCAGGGTGCCTGGTCCTAGGAACCACGCTCTCAATGTAGTCTCCCTTTCCCTCTCCTTCATAGGCTCAGAAACACAGGGACCACAGGAACTGCCCACACTGGCCTGAGCTGGCCCAGAGGGAGACACACACACACACACACACACACACACACACACACACACACACACACACACACACACACGAGCAAGTCAGCTAATGTGAAGGAGGTATTTTGTTACACTCAGTTACCTCCCTTCTGAGAGTGGGCTCCCAAGAGAGCCAAACGTGGGTCCCTCCCCAGTCCATCCACACAGCTCTATCTCCAGCCCTATCTCCAGTGAACCTCCTCAGGTAGGTCCCCAAAGTTCTGGCTGAGATCTCCAAACCCTCCCCCAACCCCACTGACACAGCCTTACCTCCAGTTGCTATGGTGATCTGTCGCAGAGGATGCCCGTAGAAAGGGAAATCAAAGGACAAGACCACACTCTGCAGGGGACGGGAGAGAGTCAGCATGGGCCAAGCTGCAGGCCAGGGGGCTGGGCACCAACATTGCCCCATGCTTGTCTGAACAGGGTGGGGGGCAGCCATATCCAAGGCAGGCTTCCAAGACCACAGGTGGGCACCCCAACTCTGGCCAAGCCACCTATGATCCCCTGGAAGGTACCTCCCAGACTGCAGACCTTAGGCTACAGCCACGTCCACTGACCAAGCGGTGTGGGCTGGCCCCCAACCTCCCAGCCCAGGGCAGTGCTGCCGGGAACTGGGGCACTCACCGAAGCCTGCCTGTGGGTGTTGGAGAGGATTCTGTGGACCTTCACTTGGCTCTGGTTGGCCTCGGCCACATCCACCCAGAGCTCCCGGCTGTGGGGCTCGCTGGGGCCGTACAGACGCGACACATAGTAGTTGTGGTTGTCCTCCTGCCACCACCAAAGACAGAGCCCACAAGGGACGTGAGGCATCAGGCATGCCAGGAACCACCCTCTTACCTCCCCCACCCAGACTTCTAGAGATGAGAAGTCATGGCTCTCCCAGGGACCTGGACCTGTGGCCCAGAGGGCTGGTTTAGGCCTAGGAGCCCCTGGGCCTCCCTTGTCTGAGGCAGCTCAGTACCTCACCCCTAGTTATGCCCCTACAGCTCTGGCCCAGCCTAATCCACACCCACTGTGCCCCTGCTCAGCCCTGCCATTCCCAGACAGGCCAGGAGGCTTTTCCTGCAGCCCCTGAATCTCCGTGGAGCACGCCCAAGGCGGAGTTCAGCTTGGGGTACCAGAGAGGGACAGACAGGGAAGCCCCAAGTAGGGCCCTTGTCTTCAGTGAGCTCCCAGACTGAGGCGGAGACATAGTCCCTGCTTTGGGGAGTATCCTGTTTAAGGGAGAAGGAAAACACTGGATCTTAGAAGCTGCCAGGATGGAGGCAGACCCTTGATCTTGGGGAGTTGCTAGTCTGATGGGAGAATGGGACTTAAGCAAACAGAATACACAGCCAGAGACCTTCACGCAGAGAGATGATACAGGACCCATACTACAGTCACTAGAGGGTTGAGAAAGGGGAGAGAAACAGCAAAGTTTCCTTCAAGATATATTTCTAACCTCTACTATGTGCCCGATGGGGATAACATAAAGAACAAACCATGGGCCGGCCGAGTGGTGCATTGGCTTGGGACGCCAGAGGACCCCGGTTCGGATCCCACATATGAGGGCCAGTGACACTGCCCTCTACAGCTAAGATGTTGAACAACAGCTCAACCTGGAGCTGGGCTGCCGTGAGTCGCTGGTGATGGTGTAGGCTGCAGCCCCTGCTGCAGTGGGTTGCCATGG